GCCAGTGGTGTGGACACCAATCCTTCACGGACCAAGGGGGGACAGTGAAGAGCCACAGCCTTTTCTGAATTCACAGAGGATATAAATATATACTTATTTTGCTACACTTTAAAATATTCAAACACATGAATTATTATGCTAATATTCTGATTATTAAAAAATGAATGATTGTTATATTTTAAAGATGTCAAATGTTTAACATAAAATTTGGCATTCGTCTGTCATCTTTATCCTCAATGAAACCCTGAGTTCAGCGTTCTGAGTGTATTGTACAACTTCCTTTCCTACGACCGCCCGAGTTCTGTCAATTATTAACACACTGTGTCTAATATCTTCACTGCTCACCATCTGGAGGAAGCCGATGAGGTCTTCATTAGCAGGTCTTTGTTCTCACTCCCAGAGCTGAGTCCTCTGCTGATCAGGGTCAGGGTGCTCAGCTCAAGCCTAATCCGATAAACTGACAGACTGCACTATCTCCTGTCCAGAGAAGGGGTGGGATCTTCTCCCTCCTAGGAGAAACTCGGAGCTTTTCCATCCAGGGATGAATCTCCAGGACCATGCTCTGGGGCTGGGATGAGCCAGCCCTCAGCAGGGAAGACATAGGCCGCCTGGGTGGCCATGGCATATAAGGTCTGCACTGCAGTGCACAGAGACCCCCGGAGCTGGGCAAGATCAGACAACTGCTCCTTGGTCAACGGAGAATGGATTTGCTGGGCCTGTACCTGAGCTATGTCTTGATAAATGGCCTCACACATAGCACGCAGGAAGGCCACCAGGCTTTTCCGAAGTGGTGGTGGGTGGTGTCTTAAGGACCCAAATCTTGGCTTCTTGCTGTGCCCAGTGTGGGCCCCCTGCAACTCCCAGCTGTGGACATCATAGGTCTCCTCAATTTTCCTGAAGTTCACAGGGTCAGAGGCCTTTGGTTTCTTTTCTGAAGTCAAGCTGTGCTCATCTTCTAGACAGTTCCCTGGGGAGGAAGCAAGCAAGTGAGAGACTTGCCAGAAAAGTCTCCACAGACCTCATTCCTGGGATCTCACCATGCACCTTCAGGTGAACTCCACTTATCTCTCCTGCTCCTTCCTGACCCCCTGAGTCTCCATAATGAAAGGAGGCTGAGCTCATCATAGGTACCAAAACACTCTCTCAGTCCCAGGATCTCTAAAACCCTCTCAGACGCTGAAAAACATCCTTTCTGCCCAAGCCCTGTACAAGTTTCCTGCTGGTCTGCTCTCAGGACAAAAAAGGACCTACCTGTTCCATCTTGACAACTGTCCTTGGAACTGATTTTCCTCTTCCTGGACTTCCTCCCATCTGAGCTGGACTCTGATTCTGTGGATAATTGAGAGTTTGAGGGAGTGCCTACAACTGAACACCTTAGCAACCCTGGTCCATCCTGGACACACAAGCAGCTGAGGCTGCACCCAAAACTCAGTGCTCTTTCATTCTCCAGAGTCCAGTATCTGTAAGGCCCTGCCTGTCAACAGCTCCCAATTCCATGCCCAGGGGAAACTGTGTTAACCCACCCCCGTCCCTTTCCCTCCCTGAGAGAATCAAATCTTACCTGATCTGTCAATGCTGTTTCCCGCGTTAAGCTCAGTTTCCTTGGAATTCTCCTCCTCGTTCACATTGAGTTCTGGTCCTAGTGGAAAAGGGAGCTTAGGTGACTGGCCTCCTCTTAGGTCCTCAGAGTCCCCTAGTCTGTTCCCGATCTGTATTTGTGGGTCATTCTCTCAACCAAGGCTGTTCAGTCAGTGTCAAGTGTAAATGGGAAGAATACGCTTCCAAGGGATAATTGCCACATTTCTCAAGGCCCCTGGAGAGTGATGACTCCTTTCCCAAGCCCGGTCTCAAAGTTAAACTCTACCAGGAAACATCCACACTGTCCCTGCGTCTACCTTCCTTCCAGCCTCCACATGAACAGCTCGAGTCTGTACCTCGCCTCTGAGTGCAGTTCTCACTGGAATGTAAAGACAGAGTCTTGCGTTTCTCTTCAGATGATTTCTCCTCCTCCTCTGAGCCTCTTTCTTTAAAGGAGAGTTGTTGGAAAGAAGGCTGGTCAGTGCAATGCTGGACGGAGGGGCAGC